AGCAGGATGAAGGGCCAGGAGAAACCACCCCCAATGTGTCCCAAACTTCGAGTAATATGATTATTCTCCCGAGCGGCAGCAGCGAGCATTGCCCCGGTCGCCTCAGGTCATGAGCGTTGTCTCCGCCGGTTCAGGGGGGGTACTTTATGAGTAGATGAGACCAGCACCTGCGGGCTGCGTCCGCCGAGTCTTCCAACATGACTTCTCGCTTGCTGGTCCGGCCATCGCAGGTTCAGGTTCGCTGCTGGTCTTCCCCTTGGCATCGCTCGGACGTGTGCGTCTTCCTCGGCGAGGACCATCCAGGAAGATGTCGGATCATCTTCCGGATAAAAGCATAACAGCGAACCATGCATTGGGACTGGACGTCCGAGCGATGGCGAGTCCTGTTTCCTGGCGCCGAGGCTCCGTTCTTTGAGTCTAATCCTCTTCGCCATCCTTCTCCTCTCTGCCTCGTCTCGCCTTCCTCTCCGTGTCGCTCGCATTCTGCCCCTTAAACGGGTGGCGATCCAGGCATGAGTACGAGTTCCACGGTTTGCCGCTGTCCTGTGCGACTCTCTGGCGGTGTGTTGTGGTCTGCCCGCATGAGTACGCCTTCCGCGGTCTGCACCTGTCCTTGGCGGCCCTCCAGCTAGGCGCTGTGGTCTGCTCGGCGCGAGGACGGGTTCCGCCTGCCTCTGTCCTTCGCGGCTCTCCGACTGTTTGTTGTGGCCTGCCAGGCAAAAAAACGCCACCTCGGGTCACGGCGGTTTGTCATCTGCTTGGAATGCGTGCCTGTTGAATGCTTGGGTCCCAGATGCCTTAGGCAGCTGGCGGCGCACTGTTCTGTAACCTTGGAGCCACCATATGTCCCACGACAAAGTCGTGGCCAGCAAATTAAATGGCCGTTGTCGGTCCGTCGGCGCCGCTTCCAGAACGGAGGCCGCACCAGGAGAAGGCCTGAGACAATGCGTATCCCTCTTCGTGAGCCTAGCGCCTTTGTTGTCCTGGTTCGGGTGAATCGGTGGGCCCTTCGGGAATCGCCCGTTTAAATTGGAACGGCGCAGAGTAGAATAGCATGGCCCATTCGCAAGGATGGCAGGCACACGTAATCAAGGTCGTTCGCTCCTCCTGCATGGTGTGGACAATGATTCCAGGTCGCTCGCTCCTCTTGTATAGTGTATACAATGCTTCCAGATGGCTCACTCCTTCTGTGCAGTGTACGCAATGCTTCCAGATCGATGGTTGCCCCTGCTCTCAAGTTAGCGCAGGAGGAGGAGGAGGAGGAGGAGGAGGAGGGAGGAGGCGGAGGAGGAGGAGGAGAAGGAGGAGGAGAAGGAGGAGGAGAAGGAGGGAGGAAGAGAAGGGAGGAGGAGGGAGGATGTGGGCGGAGGAGCAGGGAGGAGAAGGGCGGAGGAGGGGGGAGGAGGAGGAGGAGGAGGAGGAGGAGGAGGAGGAGCAGCAGGAGGAGGAGCAAGAGCCAGAGGCGCCGCAGAGCTGCAGTCGGGCATGGGTGCCCTCGTGGCCAGCGTGTCGAAGGCCCACTCGGCCCTGCAGCCGGTGCCGCTGCTGGCAGAGAGGATCCGAGGGGGGGGGGGCGGTGCCGCCGCCCCGTGCGGACCCGACTCCCGCACCGGGAGTTCTCTCGGCCGCCTTCCGGCGTTCCCCGGAGGTGCTCCAGTCATTGGTGGTCCCCAAACGTGGTGGTGACAGCACCTGGCGGTGAGTCTCGGGCGATTTGGTGTCACCACGCGGTTTGGGGACTCGTGCGGTTTTCCGAGGATGTCCCGGACACTGGTGGGTCCAGGAGTCACAAAACCCGGTGGTGACCCCGCGTCCCCAAACCCAGCGGTGACCTCTTTGAGGATTCCAGGTCGCCACCTGGTATCTCACCACCCGGTTTGGGGGTTCCCAAAGTCAGGCCCCCGGAGACCAGGGCACAGATCAATCGGGACACGGAGAGCCAAGGGAAAACGGCACCCTTCCCTGCAAAGTCGCAGTTTCCAGCGCACGTGGATGTTTTGTTTGTTGCACTGCAGGGATCGGGTTTGTGTCCGGTTTTACGGGGGTCTTGCAGGTTTTTACGGCTTGTGTCCGGGTTTATTGTGGAAATGTTGCAGTGCACTATTTTGTTCGTGCCGCCGTCTGGAAAAATTGGTTTCGAGGGATGTTGGGTGTCCGGGTCTAGCGTGTCTGGGTGTACGGGGCCCTGATCCAGTCTCGGGACGCGTTCCAGCAGCATTGGGGGCGGCCAAGAGGGGGGGGGGATGACTAGGGTCGGCGGCGAGCGAGGAGGGGGGAAGTGAGAAGGAGAAGGCTTCCCTCGGAAGATCCGGAAGTACTCCGGCCTTCGGAGGAGTGTTTAAAGCTTTCTCCGAAGCCCAAAAAACACTTCCCAGAAGGCGCGAGGGCTTCTGAGAAGTCCGCTCGTCTCCTTCTCATTTCCCCCCCTCGCTTGCCGCCGATAGGGGGGGGATATCATGGTGGGCCATGATGTCCCCCGAAATTCCATGGCCCCTCTGCTTTTTTCAATGCGTCCCTGGCCCCTCCCCCCCTGGGCCACGCACATGCCCCCCGTCATGATTTGCGCCCTCCCCCTCTTGGACGCCCCCATCTTGGCCGCCCCCGACAGCAGCTGCGCCTCGCCGAGGGCGCTGAAGGGATGCCCGCATCGTCGCGAACGGCCGGCGGCGGGCCGAGTCACGGCCCGATACCCACCCAGAACCCGGGCCTCGTCGCGTCGTGAACCAAGAAGAGCGGAGGTTTCTCACCGTTTCCACCCTCTGGAGACCCTCGCCGGGCCCTGGGGCCGTCAAACAACGAGTCGGGATGATCGGAGGGAGAAAGAAGGGGTCCGCAACAGGGGGTCTGCAATGGGGGCTGAATGGCCCATGCATGCTCAATATATCGCTAATGTATATGATCGGGTACGATTGACATGCAACGTTGGCGGTCATGAGGGCCAGTCGTTTGTACCCGCGCGTTGCCCGCGCGGGCAAACGCGCCATCCATCCATTAATAATCGTTCATGCGTGCGGGCGTTCCTGCATATCGCGCGCGGGGCGGCGAAGCGGAGTGCAAGTGTGTCTTGATTGTGCGATTGTGATTTCGTATTTCCAAACGATGTCTTGCCGACCCCTAAAACAGATTTGGAACGGGTTCCGCCATTCTCCCAAAATGTGGATTCACATTCTGGCCCCTTCATAGAGAGTCCCATACCAAATTCCAGAGTATGAATTCACACTTCTCCGAAATGTGAATTCGCATTTTCCTTTTTCGCACAATGTGAATTCACATGCTGCTTCTCCCCACAATGTGAATTCACATGTTGCCTTGGCCTTCAAGATCCCCAGAGCTGAGGCGCAGTGTTCCGCATGTCAGACTGGGTGGGCAGATTTTGACATGCACCTCGCCGCCTCTGGTTAATCCAACCTTTTCCCCTTGCGCCCCCAGCGCGCGTTGCCTTCGTCGCCTCTCGCCAGCCCCCCGCCTCCTTGCCTCTTTTCCCCGCAAGTCTCGCGAAAGGGTGCAGGCGGGGAGCTTCAATTGGTCCCCCCGCCGAGCACAGCAATCGAGGATGTATCGCCCATGCATGGCCCATAAAACCACCATTGCCGGGACCCTGCGCCCGACCCCCACATTCACCCTCCAAGATAAAAAGCCAGCCATACGGAAAACGTCGACTTCCTGGGGCCCCAGATCCCGTCGCCATGACAGCAAGGAGCCATGAGGGAAATTGGTCCTAGACCCCGGAGCTTTTCCCTGGGCCTGTTTTTTTTGTTTCCCGTGGAGGGCCCCAAGGGTCCCCAGAACAGGGACAAAGCCACGACATTGTTCTCCAGGACCCGCACGCTTTCTTCACTCTCGATCCTAAGAAGCCGCCGTGGGGGGTGCAGGGGGCAGACGCAGGACACCGCGGAGGCTTTGGGCCACGTGTGTGGCGGGTTTTTGGTTTTGTGGGCGTGCGGAAGGTTAGAAACGAAACACAACATGTTAGACAGCGTGGATCCAAAACAGTGTGATTTTAGCAATCCAGACGGCTCAATCGATATATGGTCAACCCCATGTGATGCAGCATGCGTGGTGCAACATAGATTGTTGCATATGGTGTGACCTTATGTGATTTGCCATCTATGCTTTGTTATATGGTGTGCGCGATATGTGTTGTGCAACGTATGTTGTGCAGCCTGTGGTGCGTTTGCAATATATGATGTGCAATCGATGTGGTGCAACCTATGCATTGGGATCTGTGCGATGCAACCTATGCGATTCAGTCCATGTGAAGCAGTCTGCGTGGTGCAATCCACGCGGTGCAATGTATGAGGCGCAATCTTTCTTGTGCGGTATGTTTGGAACGATGCACAAGCGAACCGCAGGCGCGATTTGGTTTTGCACAATCTATGCCAGCGGCGGCAACGGGGCGGCGACGGCGACAACGTAGCCGCCAGACCGGCCACACGGCCCAGACGACGGGCGGCGACGAGGAGGCGACGGGGCGGCGACGGGAATAACATGGCCGCCAGACTGGCCACACGGCCCAGTTCCTCAGAGCAGAAGTCAGAACCCCTCAGTGCAAGCACCGTTTGGGGCCCGAAGCTTGATCCTCCTGCTCCTGGACCGCGCTGGGCCGTCGCGGCTGCCCGCCGCGATGCTCCGGGCCTGCTCCTCCGCGACTTCTTCGAGCGGGGACTCGTGAGGCAGTGGCCCCATCGCCGTGCCGAGATCTCGGTCTCGCCATGGGGCGGCTCTCCAATCGCTCCTCCACCCCGATCCCTCCTCCAACTCCTGCTGCTGCTGCTGCTGGTGCTGCTGCTGCTGGTTCTCCTCCTCCTCCTCCTCCTCCTCCTCCTCCTCCGCCTCCGCCTCCTCCTCCTCCTCTCCTCTTCGTTCTCCTTAGCCTTGAGCATGAAGCCTTGCTGGCGCCGACGGCGTCCGTGCCCCGAGGCGCGGCCGAGCTCCGCCCGAGCTCTGGTGCCTGCCGACGGCCTCGAGGCTGTGGGGCGTGTCGGGGGGCATTTCGGGGGGGCAAGGGATGGCGTGAGGGGGGTGGCCTTCTGAGCATGCGCGGGGCTTTTTGGAAGGCAGGGAGCCTCGCAGGGGGTCCAGGGGCCTCCGGAGAAGGCCTGTGAGAGGTCCGTCCAAGAAGACTCCTCGGGGTCATTGAGGAAAAACTGAATAATCATAAACTTTGCGAGCTCCGCGCGGGTTTCTTGGATCCACGCTCCAAGAAATCCGCGCAGACTTCCGAATTGTCGTATGTTTCTGCCGTTGCTTTCTTCTTTCATTCAGGGTCAGCGTTAGGGGTGGGTATGGGGGCAACCAAGAGGGGTTTGATGACGAAGGGGGGTGGATATAATGACCAGGGCCATGGAGGGAGCGTCGGGTCGGACGAAAGTGGAGGGCATTGGGAAACGGAGGATCCGTTATACAGCTTGTTCTTCCCCCACAGAGGCCCCCCCGCCTTCTCCAAGAGGCCGCCCCACACCCCCTCGCGCCGCGCCCTCGTGCGCGCCGCCAGCCTTTGAAAGCTGGGACCTCGCGGTGGGCCGGGGGGCTTATCAGCCCTGCCCCAGATGCAGTGGAGACGCGCATCGAGATACAGGTTCTTCGTCAGGGTGCCCTCCGTTTCTTCGCTCCGCGTGCTGCGCGGTGGCTTCCCGCGGCCATGGAAGAAGCTGCTGCGTTCAGGGCTGGAGTTCTTGCGAGGGTCTCTTGCGGCCGCGTCCGCACCGTGCTCGATACAGTCGCTCGTCGAATGAGCAGCCAGCCTGGCAGAAGCTGCCACAAGAAGATTTCTTATCGTGCGAGGGCCATAGGCACCCACGGAAGCCTTGGGAAACCTCACGAAGCTCAAAGATCGACGAAAACCGTCCTGGATGTCGGGCTTCTTTGTGGAAGGGTCTAGATGTCGTGCGATTTGTTATCGAGGAGGAACGCGCCAGCCGTCCTGAATGAAGCTCACCAGGTTGCGGCCTGACTCCATCGTTTGAGGGAATCTCGATGGAACTCCCGTCATCCTGACCCCTGGCGCGCGTGGCAGTGGCCCCGCCGACCGCCCCCCCTGTTCCGTTTCAGGCGAGGTCTGGGAAATCCTGCGAAATCCGGCGAATGCGGCGAATGCGGCGAATCTGGAGACGAATTCCAAAACGGCGCCTTCGCGTGGGACATCCTCAGAAAAACAGGCCCTGCAGAGCCTCGCCAACGAGGCTGTCAGAGGGCGAGATCCGGGAAGATTGGTGAAATCTGGCGAATGTGGCGACGAATTCCAAAACGGCGCCCTCGTGTGGGACATCCTCAGAAAAAGAGACTGGAGCCTCCCTCCCCAACGAGGCTGTCAGAGGCCCTCCTGTTCCGTTTCAGGCAAGATCCGGGAAGTTTGGTGAAAGCTGGCGAATCCGGCGAATTCGGTGACGAATTCCAAACTGGCGCCCTCGCGTGCATGGGACGTTCCTCAAAACAACCGGCCCCCGGGAGCCTCCCCAACGAGGCTCTCAGAGGCCCTCCAGGCTACATCCAGGAAATACGGCGAAATCCTGCGAATCCGGCGAATACAGCGAATCTGGCGAAGAATTCCAAACCGACGCCCTCGCGTGGGACATCCTCAGAAAAACGGGCCTACCGGCGCCCTCGCGTGGGACATTCTCAGAAAAAACTGGCATCCCTCCCCAACGAGGCTGTCAGAGGCCCTCCTGTTCCGTTTCAGGCGGGGTCCGGGCAGAAAGCCGGCGAATCCGGCAAATTCGGCGACGAATTCCAAAACAGACGCCCTCGCGTGGGACGTTCCTCAAAATAACACGCCCCTCGGAGCCTCCCCAACGAGGCTCTCAGAGGCCTCCTGTTCCGTTTCAGACGAACGAGATCCGGTCTGGAAAATCCGGCGACTCCGGCGACGAATTCCAAACCGGCGCCCTCGCGTAGGACATTCTCAGAAAAACCGGCCCGGGGAACTTTCCCAACGAAGCTCTCCGAGGCCCTCCTTGTTCCATTTCAGAACGGCGACGAATCCCAAAACGGCGCCCACGCGTGGGACATATTCAGAAAAACCGGCAACGAATTCCAAACCGGCGCCCTCGCCCGGGACATCCTCAGAAAAACCGGCCCTTGCTGGAGCCTCCCCGAAGAGGCCCTCAGAGGTCCTTTGTTTCGTTTCCAGTGAGATAGGGAGGGAATCCAGCGAATCCGGCGACGAATTCCTGACCAGCGTTCTCGCGTGGGACATCCTCAGAAAACCGGCCCCCAGAGCTTCCTCAAGGAGGCCGAGAGGCCTCTGTTCCGTTTCCGGCGAGATCGGGGGAATCCAGCGAATCCGGCGACGAATTCTAAGCTGGCGCCCTCGTGCATGAGACATCTTCAGAATAGCCGGCCCTGGAGCCTTTCAGAGGCCTCCTTGTCTCGTTTCTGGCGAGATCCTGGAAATCCGGCGAATCTGTTTCTGGCAAGAGTTGGGCAATCCAGCAAGATCAGAAAAATTCGCCGAGGAATTCCAAACCTGCGCCCTCGTAGGGGACATCCTCAGGAAACCGT